ACTAGTGTTGACGCCTTGCTGGTAACACTAATGATGACGCCGTGGTTTGGTAACACTAGTGATGACGCCGTGCTGGTAACACTAGTGATGACGACGTGCTGGTAACAATAGTGATGACGCCGTGCTGGTAACACTAGTACTGACGCCGTGCTGGTAACACTAGTGATGACGCCGTGCTGGTAACAATAGTGATGACGCCGTGCTGGTAACACTAGTGATGACGCCGTGGTTTGGTAACACTAGTGATGTCGCCGTGCTGGTAACACTAGTGATGACGCCGTGGTTTGGTAACACTAGTGATGACGCCGTGCTGGTAACACTAGTGATGACGCCGTGGTTTGCCCCCGGCCTGAGAACCTCACATTGACCAATGACCACTTAAGTGACCATTGAAGCCGAGCTGGGCGTCATCAGGTGGACGTGAAGATCCCCGGCTCACCCACCATCGTCTGACCTTGATGCCACGTGACATCTCCAGCAGAAACGACATTAGTGCAGGTCAGGAGTCTGGAACTTTTTCAGTCTGTGAATATCTGGGGTTAGGTCCAGGTTTTTATATGCGTACACTCCAGACACGTGTCGACTGTAGACGTGTGTCCACTCACTATAGACGTGTGTCCAATATAGACGTGTGTCCACTGTAGACGTGTGTCCACTCACTATAGACGTGTGTCCACTGTAGACGTGTGTCCACTCACTATAGACGTGTGTCCACTGTAGACGTGTGTCCACTCACTATAGACGTGTGTCCACTGTAGACGTGTGTCCAATATAGACGTGTGTCCACTCACTATAGACGTGTGTCCAATATAAACGTGTGTCCACTATAGACGTGTGTCCACTATAGACGTGTGTCCAATATAGACGTGTGTCCACTATAGACGTGTGTCCACTGTAGACGTGTGTCCAATATAGACGTGTGTCCACTATAGACGTGTGTCCACTATAGACGTGTGTCCACTATAGACGTGTGTCCACTATAGACGTGTGTCCACTGTAGACGTGTGTTCACTATAGACGTGTGTCCACTATAGACGTGTGTCCACTATAGACGTGTGTCCAATATAGACGTGTGTCCAATATAGACGTGTGTCCACTATAGACGTGTGTCCACTATAGACGTGTGTCCACTGTAGACGTGTGTCCAATATAGACGTGTGTCCACTATAGACGTGTGTCCACTATAGACGTGTGTCCACTATAGACGTGTGTCCACTATAGACGTGTGTCCACTATAGACGTGTGTCCAATATAGACGTGTGTCCACTATAGACGTGTGTCCACTATAGACGTGTGTCCACTATAGACGTGTGTCCACTATAGACGTGTGTCCACTATAGACGTGTGTCACCTGTAGACGTGTGTCCACTATAGACGTGTGTCCAATATTGACGTGTGTCCACTATAGACGTGTGTCACCTGTAGACGTGTGTCCACTATTGACGTGTGTCCACTATTGACGTGTGTCCACTATTGACGTGTGTCCACTATAGACGTGTGTCACCTGTAGACGTGTGTCCACTAAAGATGCACCTGTACATGTGTGTCCAATGTAGACGTGTTTCCCTTATAGACATTTATAGACCTTGTTCACTAATGAACAATTTTCAGTCTTTGAAAAGGAATCAAATTGAGTCTTTTGAAACTCATGACTACAAGTTCCTAAATTAATTTTTAATATTTTTTTTCATGAAAACTAATAGCTCTTTTGTTGTCACGAATTCTATTTTAATTTTAAGAAATACGAAATGTGTGCCCAGCATAAAATGATACATTCCTATTCTTTTACGTGGTGAGACATACAATAATGCAGCAGTCCATCATAAAGTGATACCCCCGCCCCTATATCAAGTGATACTTTACCCAGCGAGCCCCTTAATCTCTGTACTCAAGTCAACTTTGACATGTCCGCCATCAAAGATTACCCGGCCATCCCCTGACTGCAGTACATCATTGTTATTCATTGCCAGATAAATCTCCGCCGTCCACCACCGTCTGGTGTAAGCACTCAGTCACTGGCCGTCTACTGGGGTCAGCCGTCTATTGACACCTTATGTCACTCACATTCGCCTTGTCTGATGCAAACGTGAATCCAAGTGGGAGTCTTGTGTCGGTCGTTGACCTTAGGTCATACTCCTACCACGCAACACGTCATCGTGTATTTCCATTACACCAAGGCACGGTATATTTCCATTACATTAAGACATCATGTATATCCATTACACTTAGATATCGTGTATATCCATTATACTAAGACATCGTGTATATCCATTACACTTAGATATCGTGTATATCCATTACACTTAGATATCGTGTATATCCATTATACTCAGACATGTTATATTTCCATTACACTTAGATATCGTGTATATCCATTACACTTAGATATCGTGTATATCCATTACACTCAGACACGTTATATTTCCATTACACTCAGACACGTTATATTTCCATTACACTCAGACACGTTATATTTCCATTACATTCAGACACGTTATATTTCCATTACATTCAGACACGTTATATTTCCATTACATTCAGACATGGTATATTTCCATTACATTCAGACACGTTATATTTCCATTACATTCAGACACGTTATATTTCCATTACACCAAGACATGGTATATTTCCATTACACTTAGACATCGTGTATATCCATTATACTCAGACATGTTATATTTCCATTACACTTAGATATCGTGTATATCCATTACACTTAGATATCGTGTATATCCATTACACTCAGACATGGTATATTTCCATTACACTCAGACACGTTATATTTCCATTACACTCAGACACGTTATATTTCCATTACATTCAGACACGTTATATTTCCATTACATTCAGACATGGTATATTTCCATTACATTCAGACACGTTATATTTCCATTACATTCAGACACGTTATATTTCCATTACACTAAGGCATGGTATATTTCCATTACACTCAGACATGGTATATTTACATTACACTCAGACATGGTATATTTCCATTACATTCAGACATGGTATATTTCCATTACACTCAGACATGGTATATTTCCATTACATTCAGACACGTTATATTTCCATTACACTCAGACATGGTATAATTCCATTACATTCAGACACGTTATATTTCCATTACACTCAGACATGGTATATTTCCATTACACTCAGACATGGTATATTTCCATTACATTCAGACACGTTATATTTCCATTACACTCAGACATGGTATATTTCCATTACACTCAGACATGGTATATTTCCATTACACTAAGACATGTTATATTACAATGACACCCGTACACTTTATATTTCCCTATCACCCACACACAGCATACTTCCATGACATCCCTATTGTCCACACATTATATTTCCTTAATGCCCACGTCTTTTATTACCATAAAGACGTTATATTTCCTCAAAAATACCCGGCCATAAGCAGTGGCGGAACTAGAAATCAAAGGCTCCCCCGCAAAGAAAAAACTAGGGCCCCCTATATATATATATATATATATATATATATATATATATATATATATATATATATATATATATATATACATATATATATATATATATATATACATATATATATATATATATATATATATATATATATATATATATATATATATATATATATATATATATATATATATATATATATATATATATATATATATATATATATATATATATATAAAATCTATATCCTAAGTGAGTAATTTAGTCTACTTCATTGCAATATAATCAATATATAACCATTCTGAGTGAACAAAACAGAATTATTTAGCCATCACTCAGTTTGAGTTAGAAAAGTATCATAATCATGCTGGTCAAAAATATATAAAGACGTTAGCTTGACTCGTGAATGGTTTCTCGCGTTATGTTTTTTTTTTTCATTTTAGGCTTTTATAATATCAATTTTGAAAACAGTGATTTTTATAGCCATACTATTGTATAGTACGTCTTATTTAAATAACAATTCAGAGAATCAATTGCTTTTTAATATACATAGTACAAAACTATTTAAATGAGTTTCGTGGGCATCCCTATTTTAAAGAAGGGCAGTAAGGCTTGGAAGTAGTGTGAATGTTTAACTACCTTTCAAACTATAGCTCTTGTAGATTTTAAAATATTTTTCTACGCAACAATCTCTGCTATAGTAGACCTGTTTTTTTTTTTACAAAAACACTTTCAAGATGCATGAAAAACATAATTTTTGAAAAAAAAATGCATTGTGTTTTGGTCGGAACTGGGCCCCTAAGCGTCCTGGGCCTCCCCCCCCCCCCCCCCCCCCGCATTGCGGGGTCTGGCGGTATGGTAGTTCCGCCCCTGGCCATAAGTAGCCTGTTATACTACGTCACACTGCTATATCACGTCTGGAAAATTGTGTTGACACATGTACATGCCCTCATGTTCTACACTACTACCAAATGAGGACATGAAAGTTGAAATATCTTTTTGAACATGGCGGTCCACGGGGACTCTATGGAGTGGGGGGGGGGGGGGCACGAGACAACTCTTATTTCCTCTAATGCTCGGTGTCCTTATAATCCTTTTGTTCTTTAATCCTCACTGTGGTCTCGCGGGGTGCTTTAGCCGATGTTAGTCTTACAAGCAATTCCTTTATAGTCCAGTCAAATGGACCTTCTCATGTTTTATTTCCCCAGGTAACCTGTTTGTGATTCTCATGTTTTATTTCCCCAGGTAACTTGTTTGTGATTCACATGTTTTATTTCCCCAGGTAACCTGTTTGTGATTCTCATGTTTTATTTCCCCAGGTAACTTGTTTGTGATTCTCATGTTTTATTTCCCCAGGTAACTTGTTTGTGATTCTCATGTTTTATTTCCCCAGGTAACCTGTTTGTGATTCTCATGTTTTATTTCCCCAGGTAACCTGTTTGTGATTCTCGTGTTTTATTTCCCCAGGTAACTTGTTTGTGATTCTCATGTTTTATTTCCCCAGGTAACTTGTTTGTGATTCTCATGTTTTATTTCCCCAGGTAACCTGTTTGTGATTCTCGTCGTTCTACGTCATCGCCACATGCGTACACTGACCAATGTGTTTTTTCTCAATCTGACCATCGGAGACTTCATGGTCAACTGTATCTGTATCCCCATCACCCTGGGCAACTACGTCTACAGGTGAGGCTAGTTTAACATTGGTCTGGTCAAATGACAAAACGCAAACTACACAAATACACAACATAAATACAAACCACACAATTCACAACATAAATACAAACTACACAAATACACAATATAAATACAAACTACACAAATTCACAATATAAATACAAACGACACAAATACACAATATAAATACAAACTACACAAATACACAACATAAATACAAACCACACAATTCACAACATAAATACAAACTACACAAATACACAACATAAATACAAACTACACAAATACACAATATAAATACAAACTACACAAATACACAATATAAATACAAACTACACAAATACACAATATAAATACAAACTACACAAATACACAACATAAATACAAACCACACAATTCACAACATAAATACAAACTACACAAATACACAATATAAATACAAACTACACAAATACATAAAATTAATACAAACTACACAAATACATAAAATTAATACAAACTACACAAAAATTCACAAAATAAATTAATACAATGTACACAAAAACACCACATAAGTACACTAATTCACCACATTTAGCTTTAAGAATCTGGATAAAATGTTCTTTTTTTTTTCAACTAAAACCTCATGGCTTATTCTTTTAGACCATAACATCTTTTTTTGCAAACCACGAGTAAAGTATGTACTTTGAGCACTTTGGTTCAGTAATTCTGTAAAACAGGTTTACATAATGTATGAGATAACCCAACACCCACTCGAGAGTTTGAACTCCATGAAATGAAATCACCAAGTTGTTTTAAGTAAACTGGTGTCGACTGATGGACAAAATGATATTTTAGATTATTGTCAGCTATACTAGTACAGCAGAGGCGTAGCGACCCTTCCCGGCGCCCGGGGACATACTTTCAATTTGGCGCCCCCCTCTGGAGCAAATTTTCGATTTGCACCCCCCCTCGAACTTTTCATTTGCACCCCCCCTCAAACTTTCGATTTGCACCCACCCCTCGAACTTTCGATTTGCAACCCCCCCTCAAACTTTCGATTTGCACCCCCCCCCCCTCGAACTTTCGATTTGCACCCCCCCCTCGAACTTTTCATTTGCACCCCCCCCCTCGAACTTTTCATTTGCACCCCCCCTCAAACTTTCAATTTGGCGCCCCCCCCTAAGGTCGGCGCCCGGGGACATATGTCCTCCCCGCCCCCGCCCCCTCGCTACGCCTCTGTAGTACAGCGAGACAGAAACCTGCAATGTTTCTGACGATATTTGAATTTTTCGTCATATTTTTAATGTCTGGAAATTGTTAATTACGTGGATATATTTATAAGCTCGATTACTTTGCTAAATTATATTTGTCGTTGTATTTCTTTTTGTATTGACGGGTTCTTTGAAGATTTGAAGCATGGTCATAACCCCCTTTTAGAGATAAGAGCAGGACTGAGGAAAAAAAGGCGCCTTTTAGATATATATATATATATATATATATATATATATATATATATATATATATATATATATATATATATATATATATATATATATATATATATATATAATTATATATACAAGCGTCCCGTCCACCCGAAGAGATGCCTGGAGGAGTCTCTGTTCTTGTGTTCTTCAAAGACTTGAACTCCACAACGCATTGGTTATATTACAATCTGAGAGTCTGCTCAACAGTTGGTTAAATGAATGGGATATGTTTGTACAGGCACTAGGGACAAGGTCAAACACACTTATCAACTCTACTTTACCTGTACATTTGGACCATGAGTTCTGCGATGGTACCCAGCTTTCAGTGAGCTACATACAGCATAGGTACCCAGCTTTCAGTGAGCTACATACAGCATAGGTACCCAGCTATGTGAGCTACATACAACATAGGTACCCAGCTATGTGAGCTACATACAACATAGGTACCCAGCTATGTGAGCTACATACAACAGAGGTACCCAGCTATGTGAGCTACATACAGCATAGGTACCCAGCTATGTGAGCTACATACAACATAGGTACCCAGCTATGTGAGCTACATACAGCATAGGTACCCAGCTATGTGAGCTACATACAACATAGGTACCCAGCTATGTGAGCTACATACAGCATAGGTACCCAGCTATGTGAGCTACATACAACAGAGGTACCCAGCTATGTGAGCTACATACAACAGAGGTACCCAGCTATGTGAGCTATCTACAACATAGGTACCCAGCTATGTGAGCTACATACAGCATAGGTACCCAGCTATGTGAGCTACATACAACATAGGTACCCAGCTATGTGAGCTACATACAGCATAGGTACCCAGCTTTCAGTGAGCTACATACAGCATAGGTACCCAGCTTTCAGTGAGCTACATACAACAGAGGTACCCAGCTATGTGAGCTACATACAGCAGAGGTACCCAGCTATGTGAGCTACATACAGCAGAGGTACCCAGCTATGTGAGCTACATACAACAGAGGTACCCAGCTATGTGAGCTACATACAGCAGAGGTACCCAGCTATGTGAGCTACATACAACAGAGGTACCCAGCTATGTGAGCTACATACAACAGAGGTACCCAGCTATGTGAGCTACATACAGCATAGGTACCCAACTATGTGAGCTACATACAGCAGAGGTACCCAGCTATGTGAGCTACATACAGCAGAGGTACCCAGCTATGTGAGCTACATACAGCATAGATACCCAGCTATGTGAGCTACATACAGCATAGGTACCCAGCTATGTGAGCTACATACAACATAGGTACCCAGCTATGTGAGCTACATACAACTTAGGTACCCAGCTATGTGAGCTACATACAGCAGAGGTACCCAGCTATATGAGCTACATACAACTTAGGTACCCAGCTATGTGAGCTACATACAACATAGGTACCCAGTTATGTGAGCTACATACAGCAGAGGTACCCAGCTATGTGAGCTACATACAACATAGGTACCCAGCTATGTGAGCTACATACAACATAGGTACCCAGCTATGTGAGCTACATACAACATAGGTACCCAGCTATGTGAGCTACATACAACATAGGTACCCAGCTATGTGAGCTACATACAACATAGGTACCCAGCTTTCAGTGAGCTACATACAACATAGGTACCCAGCTATGTGAGCTACATACAACATAGGTACCCAGCTATGTGAGCTACATACAACATAGGTACCCAGCTATGTGAGCTACATACAACATAGGTACCCAGCTATGTGAGCTACATACAACATAGGTACCCAGCTTTCAGTGAGCTACATACAACATAGGTACCCAGCTATGTGAGCTACATACAACATAGGTACCCAGCTATGTGAGCTACCTACAACATAGGTACCCAGCTATGTGAGCTACATACAACATAGGTACCCAGCTATGTGAGCTACATACAACATAGGTACCCAGCTATGTGAGCTACATACAACATAGGTACCCAGCTATGTGAGCTACATACAACATAGGTACCCAGCTATGTGAGCTACATACAACATAGGTACCCAGCTATGTGAGCTACATACAACATAGGTACCCAGCTATGTGAGCTACATACAGCAGAGGTACCCAGCTATGTGAGCTACATACAGCAGAGGTACCCAGCTATGTGAGCTACATACAACATAGGTACCCAGCTATGTGAGCTACATACAACATAGGTACCCAGCTATGTGAGCTACATACAACATAGGTACCCAGCTATGTGAGCTACATACAACATAGGTACCCAGCTATGTGAGCTACATACAACATAGGTACCCAGCTATGTGAGCTACATACAGCATAGGTACCCAGCGAACATTAAAACAAGTGGAGACCTCTGGACTAACAGTACATTCCTTAATGACTGAGTCGCTAATGGCGCTGTTTGATGACAGACTAGTGACACGTCAGTCACCAGTAATCGTCTCACGTCATTTTCAGCCAATCAGAAATGGAGAACCAACAATGATGGAGCACGGCACTCGACCAATCAAACAGCAGGATACATGTCCTGATTGTGTCAAGACGATCCGGTGTTGTCCACTTCAGGGGCCGAGAAACACGTGATGGGACATGACGGCCAAACATAATTAGAAACACGAGGTGAAAACCTCAAACCCTCTGACAGTTCTTCACCTGCTTAAGTACAAGTGTCAACAACCCGACCTACTTCACCCCTCCCCCCCCCCCCACACCAACCCAGCCACCCACCCACACCATGTCAAGAGGGGTTACTTTTTCAAAGTGGGTTTGGTGTGTGTTTGATGTGTGTTCGATGTGTGTTCGATGTGTGTCTGAGTGTTTCTATGTCAAGTTTAGGATTTTTCCTATATCAACACACCAATCACACCCACCTCACCAACCCACCAACCACACTAACCACACCAACCCACCAACCACACCAACCACACTAACCACACCAACCCACCAACTACACCAGCCACACCAACCACACTAACCACACCAACCCACCAACCACACCAACCACACCAACCACACTAACCACACCAACCACACCAACCACACCAACCACACCAACCGCACCAACCACACCAACCACACCAACCACACCAACCGCACCAACCGCACCAACCGCACCAACCACACCAACCACACCAACCACACCAACCACACCAACCACACCAACCACACCAATCACACCAACCACACCTAACACACCAACCACACCAACCACACCAACCGCACCAACCACACCAACCACACCAACCACACCAACCACACCAATCACACCAACCACACCTAACACACCAACCACACCAACCACACCAACCACACCAACCGCACCAACCGCACCAACCGCACCAACCGCACCAACCACACCAACCACTCCAACCCACCAACCACACCCACCACGTTAACCACACCAACCACACTTACCACACCAACCCGTTTCAGAGAAGTTGAGATCTAGTTAGACCCGTCCATACCTGACTAAAACAAATGCCAGCTTGATGTTAGAGATAATGAGCAAACTTTCATGGCTCAAGGAAATCATGAGCCTTCATGAATATTTAAC